GCCGTCGGTCCATTACTGTGCCACACCGATCTCCTGCTTCAACGAGCCTCCGACGTCACCATCCTACCGCTCACACCGGATTTAGGTTTCGTGTTTCGCCATTTGCGAAAAACAGTTTCGCATAACAACTATACACAGACCCAAACCTTAATAATTTAATGCGGACCAAAATTTTGTCAATTACAGCCGTTGGCCAATCAAAATTGAGGATCAACCGCGCATTTTTTTGTGCGGCGCCTAGATTTAATGAATCCCATATTATTAAATATTAAATGTTATTAAATATTATTAAATATTATTAACTATTATTAAATGTTATTAAATATTATTAAATATTATTAACTATTATTAAATATTATTAACTATTATTAAATATTATTAAATATTATTAACTATTATTAACTATTATTAAATATTATTAAGTATTATTAAATATTATTAAATATTATTAAATATTATTAAATATTATTAAAAATTCTTAAATATTGTTAAATATTATTTTTTCATTGGATTTATTAGAAGCGATTCTGAAACAACGACGATACTAGAGATAGAAATGGTGCAAATTCGCATAATATCGTATAATCAAAATCGAAATATGTATGATTCAAAATATTGAATTGCTAAATCAAAATAGTGTATGACTAAGTCAAAATATTGTATGATTAAAAAATATCGCATGATTAGAAAATAAAGAGATGTAAGTGCCGAAATAAAGCCTTTAAATATACCTATCTATCCAAAATGAGGTTCTTCGTGTAACATAAAGCAAATATTTAGTATTTGGCTGAGGATATTTTTTTGTTTATTTTTCCTTTTAAGTCTTTAGGGTTTTCGGGTCTGCTGTAACAATGAAAACAATCTTTACAGATTTTTTAAATGATATAAATGATGTAGATATGAGATTATTTTTTAACTAAACCTCAAAATCATAAGTGACAACGAAAATGATTTATTGCTAATGAATTATTACGGCACAAAGTATGGTATTTAAGAATTGCCGAGAATCAACGTGAAGTCTCTTGAATTTTTTTTTAATACTGCATTTGTAACTCGATGAACTTTTCAACAAAAGCAAAATTATATGTTGAGGTACACAGTATTGACGATTTATATTGTGCCACTACGACGTTTTCCACGTCACACTAATTTTAATTTCTTATTGAAAAACAACAAACAATTTTTATTTCCATAATCGATTCGCTTGGGACGATAATCAATCATTGACACAAATTTTATGATGTAAGTGAATAATGAACCGGGAAATGTCCGGTGACCGTTATGTTGTACAGTTATTTATGTTATTATCCTACTTAAGCAAATTATTAAAATAATAAAATACGCATTTAAGGATTTGTTTTGGTTTGACAGTAAATCTTTCTCACATATACTGTATTCGAATTTTCGCATATATTACGCATTAAATATTAATTATTTAAAAAATTAGGCCTTGCTTACTAAAAAATTTAACTGGATGTCGAAATATTTATGGTTACAAATGTTTATGCACATGCTAAGCATTAAATTTTTAGCAATTAACATTTATAAACCACCAATTTTCTTGGTTAGATACCTTTGAGTGACAAACTGTTTTATTAAACTCTTATATAGTTATAACTAATTTCGCTGTAGAATATAAAAAAAGTTTTTAATATTAAATTATAAAAAAAAAAATGAATATTAATATATTGATTATTGTGATTTTATTCTTTTATTCGTCAATTGTTTCTTGTCATTATATAAAAAAAGGATGTCAAAATAGACAACCTCTGATATCTTATAGTAATGAACCTATGGAATTTGATGGTCCAGATGGTCCCGTTACTCAGAACGAAATTAATTCATATATTAGTTTCTCAGGACAGCCTTCTAGAATGCCTACTACCGCATTGAGTAATATTCTGGCTGATGGTGGCACTGGTCAGGATGTAGAATCTTTAGGGTTAATTTATGAATTTTCACAAAATCCTCAAATACTCGATATTATGATAAACTTTACCGATAAATTTTTATCACTTAGAAATGACCCTGAAAATGGTCGAGTTATGTGGACAGGAAAAAGAGAATTTGTTTGGTGTACAAAGGCAGCTGATGCTGATGACGCTGGTTATGCCGGTTCTGAAGGTCTTGATACAGCTGGTAAAATAGCATACGCTGCTTACCTTATCCTTAAGACTCCTTGTCTTTGGGAAGAAACGGTTACAGACAATGATCCTTATAATTATGGCAAAACATATAAAGAACGTGCTATTAAATATGTGACCGAAATGGATAAAACTATCGATACTTATTATTTAAAGTATTTTATTCATAAGAACGATTCAAAAATTTATAATCCAAATTCATCAGATTGGTTAACTGTTAAAGATTTACCACCGAATTCGCCAATGCCTTGGAACCGTCAACAAATGATGACAAATGGATTTTTAAGAGTGGCTGAATGCCATGAGATTCTTCTCAAATATGGAATTGGTAATAGTAGTGATAATAAACGTCGAATTGATAAATATTTTACTATTATACGAGTTTCTATTGATTGGATGGTCAGTGAATTCCGTCAAAAAACAACCGATGATGGTATAGATGTATACTATTGGTCTTATAAGGAAGGTGATAAATCTGCTGAGCTCATTAATATACATGCTCTCTACGATATTTGGGGTTTATATAGAGCATGGCAACGTAATGACAAATTACAATTAGACCTCAAAGATGTCATGACTAGGATGGCTAACACAATGAGATACGTAATTTATTTGGGTGATAATAAAATTTCAAAGCGAATAGACGGTACATCATCTGCTAGTGATAAAACCGGTAATCTTTATGGCCCTTGGGTATTTTATTCCGAATTTATTCCAGATTGGTATGAAATTTTTATCAATCTCAGTCAGAATAAAATGTTAACTGGACCACGGTACCTAGGCGCAATCCTTTGGACGAAAAATGCGCGTGCACGTGGTAAATTTCCAACCTAATTCTGTAATTGAATTTATATAATTTGGCAATTACTATTCGTACACACTACAATATGAAACTGCCTTTAGAAATTTAACAAAAAAATCTACATGCATAAATTTTAGCATAATCTATAATCTAACCTTGACCTTGACCTTAACCTTAAACCTTAACTTTAATTAATTTTTGGGTTATTTGATTTTGTTGATATGCATACTCTAGTATATCTTTAGAAATTTTCTATTTAAAATACATCCGAATTTTGTATTATATATATAGATCTTATGTAACATATTATACATTATATAGAACATTATTAAAGTCTTATTGGAGAATTTAATAATGATGTCAGTGTACTTGAGAAAATTAACCTCTACGTATAAGATTTTGCAGTTATTGCCAAATTTGTTTCGAACTAATATCCTTTTGTTCTGTTGAACTGTGCTTTCATGCGCCTTTTAGATTTAACGCATAAAATTATGTAACACAATTTACGTATTTAGCTTTAGTATCACTTAAACAGTATGACGTAACAGCAATGTACATGCATACGTCGTACGTACGTACATACATAGCTGATGTGTTCCATAACTCTAGAAAAATGAATGTACAATCATTCTGTTCACAAATTTAACATTTAAAATTTTAGAATGATTACATTACCAAATGAATGTCTTTTTGAAATATTTAATAACTTCAAAAACTGTTACGGTTACTTATTTTCATGTCTTCTCGTAAATCGTCAATGGTGTAGAAATATTATTCCAATCTTATGGAGTGATTCATTGTTTCATTGCAAAGATGGAAGACTTATAAGAACATGTTTAATGTTAATGAACGAAGAAGAAAAGGCTCCATTAATTCCATTCAATATATTACCTCCTTTAAATGATCCAAATCCATTATTTGAATATACTTATTATACTAAATCGATTAAATCTTATAATTTAAAAAGAGGAATCATAAATTGGATTTGTCGTGATGGACAAGAACCTAGTAGTATTTATGGTTATTTTAAAAAATATAATGAATTTGAGGATGCAATTCTAGCAACTATATATTCATTAATTACAATGTTATTTCGAACAAGTGATAAAATTAAACTTTTATATATAGATGCTATCAAAAAAAAATTTTACGATAATCCTGACATTTATTATAATCATTTCTTAAGAACTTTAGAAGATATTCTTTGCAAGAATAATTGTTTAACCTCATTAAAACTTTATAATTGTAAACTTAGTCCTGAGGAATTAAAATTTTTGGCTGAAGCTCTTTGTAAGAATACAACTCTATTATCATTATCTCTTAATGATAATAAATTTGGTGATGAAGGAATTAATGCATTTATAGATGTTCTTTATAAAAATACCACTTTGACCATTTTAAATCTTAATTATAATCGATTAGGTTTTACGGGTATAAAAGCACTTACAGAAGCCCTTTATGAAAATATCTCTATAACTTCTTTAAGTCTTAATGGCAATAAACTTGGTGTTAATGGATGCAGAGTAATGGCAGAAGCTCTTTACAGAAATACTTCTTTGACTTCCTTGGATCTTTATAATTGTAATATCGATTTTGAAGGAATTAAAGTGATAATAGAGGCTCTTTATAAAAATAGTATCTTAACTTCTTTGAACATTGGAGGCAATAAATTTGGATTGGAAGGTGTAAAATTATTATCCGAAGCTCTTTGTAGAAATATCTCATTAACATCTTTAAGCCTTTGTGGAAGTGGACTTGGTATTGAGGAAAGTAAATTATTAGCGAATGCACTGTATAAAAATACTACTTTGACTTCTTTGTTACTTTACATTAATCAACTTAGTTGTGAAGGTGAAAAGGCATTAAAAGAAGCTCTTGGTAAAAACGTTACTTTAACATATTTAGGTCTTGATGGTGCTAAATGCATTGATAGAAGATCTTTATAAATTGTTCTTTTAATCTCAGTAACAATTAATTATATTGCATGAGGCAAGAATCCTATAATTGTTATTATATAACGAACTGTACAATTTTTAAAAAAATTGTATTTTATATCATCGTAGTATTACTCTTTAGATATAATATACAATTATTTTTTTTCAAAAAAATAAAAGGTTAATTAGAACTATACATATTAAAATCATAGGATAGGAATAAACTAGACTAAGATTTTGTAAGAAGTTTTTTTAAAATTATAAAAATAGGTTCTTAACAAAAATTTTGATATTAATTTTTTTAAAAATCATTATTTTATTATGCATATGAGCGGATTTTTTAAATTGGGTCTGTTTTTTAAAAAATTGTAATTAATAGTTAATTTAACAGTATTAATCTCTTAAATTCAATAATATGAATGCCAAATGATTAGTACGTTCTACTATACATGTCGTAGAAACTAGTTAAGGTTGTTTCAAAAATATTTAGGCTCCAATTTTTGGGTAGTGCGACGGGTAAAACGGCGAGTCTGTCGCTCAAACGAACAAGACCTCGCGTAAAGATACGGGTACGGCGGGACAAGGCTTCTAGGCGTGGATTTGATTTATTTTATATACTTTGACTTTTGTATTTAATAAGCACTAACTACTATGCCTCTACACTATGAACTATTAACTATTAGGACGTTTGACCTTTCTACTACTTATGGGGCACGAAAGATAAGTATTTTTTATTAAATTTTTATTTGCTTTTATACATTTTCGCCGTTACTAACAATTTCTTTATTTATTTTTAGCTTTCCTTCCTATTTTCCCACCATTCCGCCTCTATACAATCGCGGGTTTCACTTGACCGGGTAAGTATTGTATTCTCTGTGTTGTATTTTACTTTTATTTTAATGCACTTTACTAAACCCGCCTCTTTTGTATTTTGGATCCCGCCACCCAGAAACATCGCCGTCACGGTCGTAATTCCTTCCCCATTTGGACATATTCGCCTTGTCTTGATTGTCTTTGCGTTGGGGGCACGATTATGCACATTTCACCGTTGTGGGGGTCGATTGTGATATACGATCTGTGGGTCCCGATCGTCGTTCGTACTACGTATCGTTACGCACGAATCGGCACGTTTTTTCTGGCCTGTGACAGTAGAAATAAAGTTGCAATCTAAAGCAAAAGCCAAAATCAAAATACAAGCAATAACTTAAATTGATAGCCACAATTTTATATTATGTTTTTATATAGGACATTTTTCAAACCAATCTCCTTGTAATAACTTCACTTTATACAAAAATTAATAATGATAATCATATCACAATCCTCTTTACCAGTCTGACTAACACAGACTAATTTAACACATGACACAACACCTACAACAACAAGTTTATAACATAACAACAGCAAATACCTTAAAATATGTATCTACAATATATAAAGTATTAAATCTTTAGTTATGATTAAATACTGTTGCAAAAAATGATTTCATTTATCTGCATGCAAAAAGCAAATTTGACCCAATTTACATACTCACACTTTGAACAGTTAATTCATATTACAATATTTCATTAAATTGTAATTTAAATAACAAAAAAAAACAAGAAAAGTAGTATTAGCACAATTACAGTTACAACTATATATTTATGATACTACAGCTTATCTAGCTATTACAATTAGAATTAAGTTATATTTTTTAAACTACAACAAAGAATGTGGTAATTTAGTAAAGTAGATAAATTGATATTTTCAAGTGACAGGTTAGGAGTTCAAAACTTATTAAAAGTTAAAATTTGAACAATTATTTATATTATAGCAATTATTTTGCATTAATTAATTAAAACAAAATACATATAACTATAGCTATGCTAGCATAACTAGTATATTATAGGCATCTATGTAACTTTAATTATATAGAAGTATATAAACTGGTACTAAGCAATGTAAACCCAAAATAAGTTCTTGTGATTATGTAAATTTATAAAAATAAAAAAACAAAAGTTTTTTAAAAAGATTTATTAGAGAAATAATATATGTAGATTTTTAATAATACTACTATCTTAATTATTAGAGTTAACTTAGACAATATATATACTAAAGTTCTTTTAAACAATATACTATAGCTAGACTAATCTGTTAAATATATGTTATTATATAATTCAGATTTGGTTATAAACAATTCAGTTTTGATTATTAACTAAAAAATATCTTTAACATATTTATAAATTATTAATAAATATAGTCTTTAAGTTTTTTAAATAAATTTTTTTAATGAATAATATTAATTGTTTAAACTTTTATTATTTATACATTTTTTTTAATATATATTTGTAAGCCAATTTAATTTTTTACAAATATTTATTTTTTATTTTTGTATTAGACTAATAAGTCAATAATTTTAAAATATATGTTTTATTTAATAAAAGTATTTATAAAACTAAGCTAATAATTCAAAGATTATAATATATAGTATAATAATAATTAAATTTATTTTTATATTTTTATAGAAATAGAAAAGATTAATAAAAATAATAAAACTAATAAAATAGTTGTTTTGAGTTTTTTAATATTGTTAATATATTAACACTTGCATCTATTATTTATTATTATTATAACCAAAACCACAATTTGAACTTGTTACTTAAATCTCAAACTGAAATAATAACTATTTATAATAAATTAAAAGAATTGCAAACAATTGTTATAACAGTCCTTAGTTCATCAAAAATTAATTAAACAGAAAATAACATATTTTATATTTGTTATATAAATTAGAATACAAGAACAATAATTATATTATTTATATTACTTCAACCTTTACTTTCACATTCACAAACTCTTTATTCCTTTTTTGAACACATACATTCTTACAATTACATACTACTCAATCTTTACAACTTTATATTGGTAATATCAATTAAACTAGACTACAGTAAGTGCTTAATACACTTATTAAATAAACCAGAACCTTTATCTGACCACTTCATCCCACATCAATCTGGTTATGGATTCTATTCATCAATAACTATTCTTTCAAAATATTTTCTAATACTTAATAATACACAATATACCAAACTTGTTCTTGAAGATAATACTATAAATTACACTTATATACAACTAATAGAAACTGTTCTATCTGGCTATAATGATACTGTTATTGCCAATGAACACTTTAGCTCTATACAACTTCATACACACTATAATAAATTCCTAGCCTATAACCATCTTCTACTACTTCTATATCCACAAACAATTATCTCTTTCTTATAACATATTTATAATTTTGATTACTTACCAAGCAATGCTTATAGTTATACTTTAACTATTTCTATTAAAAATGATTACAGTGAAGCTTATATTTACCTTCCATCTGAATCTAAACCTTTACCTAATCATTTTATTTCATCACTTTAAGTTATTTGTATTATTCAAACATTTTACTAAAATTAAATACAACAGAAAATGATTTTCTTAACTTAACAAATCTATATTCAACAATATTTACACCAAACTCACTGTTTTTTACACCTTCAATACTACTACAACAACATTTACCTTTTTCTATTTCTGCATTATCATCTTCAACATTGTTATTACTTCTAACACAAACCTCTATACCTATACAAAACTTCATTTAAACATTGCTATATATAATATTAAAGGATTTATCACAATTACCAAAAAAGAAGCTTGGCAAAATTACTGTCTTTATAACAATATTGTTATTGCCTGTATTACTAAAACAAAAATTGCCAACACTACTAACCTTTATTTTTATAACAATAATCAGTTTACATACTTTTAGGCAAATTCTAAAAATTCTGCTAAAGGTGTTATCATTATGATTTACAATCATCTTCAATCACACATACACAACTGTTAAACACATTCTGAAGAGCAGTAGTTTTAGACTCTTTCTTCAAAAATAAAATTAAACTTCACATTATAGCAGTTTATCTCTCTTTTACTAACACACATTGATATAATAAAATACAAGAAACAGTCATGACATGGATCCAACAAGCCTACCAACTAAACTTTCATCCAATTATTTTTGGTGACTTCAATATACATAATAATATTTGTAGCTCATCATCAAAATTTCGATTTATTAACTACCTTTATCAAGCCAACATATATAACCTTGGTACACATGTTGATAACAAACACTACATATGGTCAAGCAATACTAGTCAAAGTCATATTGACTACATATGGACTGATTCATTTAATATACAGTTCTTTCTTTCTTACAATCTAGATAATAGTAACAACTCTACACTAAATGATCACTCTATTCTTCTTTTTTCATAGTCTTTTACTAATGCATTTAATAAACCTCTATGTAATTACACTGGCATTAGTCATAAAATTTTTAATTACAATGTTATATTATTAAAAAAATAGACAAAATTTTCTAATCTGCTCTCTCAAAAACTTAACTTATATAACACTTCACTTGATTGCAACACTAATGAAAGCATAGAAACCATTTGGCATAAAATCAAATACTCAATTATTTATACTGCTATACACTCAATTTTTAACAAAAATTCTTACAAATGTAGTTATAATCACAAGTATTCACCTTATAGCATTATATTTCACTTATTACTTAAAAAACTTGGATATCTAATTAAAATTGTTAAAAATCCAAATGACAATTTAAATATTAATATAATTAATTCTAAGATTTAAAATATAAATACAAGATCTAATTGTGATTTTCAAATCTTGTCTTCTAACCAATAGCCAGAACTCAAACAATAGACTCAACATGCTTAAGATATTTGAAAACAGCTTTACCATACATATCATCTTGAAAACTTTCTGCTACTTTGACAACAAATCCAACAAGCTATTGAAAAAAGATGTGAAACACTCTCTACACATCCTTTAAACAGCACTCTTAATTATTATAAATCTTCTATTCACTTCTCAAATATTAATCTTCCTAACCAACTTGTTACAGAGCCACATCTTATCAAGCAATACATACAATCTTACTTTCTTAACTAGACAGCCTATTGACAAATTAACCAAAACCTATTTAATAATTTTTGATCTACACAATACTAATTACAACTACATATTAATACTTAATGATATAGTTCTCTTATTACTCCTATTACAAAAGAAGAAGTGTTTTAAACTATAGTAAAACTTCTTAATAGAAAAGCCTGTGATTTTATTGATATTAGTTATAAAATGCTTAAACATGCAGGTATTGTCTGTATTAAAGCCAAAACTGGCCTATTTAATTGTTACCTTAACTCAGGCCAAACTCTAAAACAATGGAAGCATAACAGAATATATCTTATTCCAAAGCACAATATATTTAATAAAGATTTTAAGCTTATTTGTCTTATAAGCTTAATTGAATAGATTTGTAAAGTCTATACAAAGATTATTACAAACAGAATTAGTAACATATTCTTACAACATCTAATTCTCTTACTATACAATTATATTGCTCTACTAAATAATAGTACTTCAATATTTATACACATACTTAACTACCTTACTAAAAATGCATTATGCAACCAAAAACCAATCTGGCTTCTGTCTTAAGATATGAGCAAGGCCTATGATTTAGTTAATCTTAAGCTTCTTAAACATTCTTTGCAGCATCTTGCTCTTCTTTCTATTATTATTAACACTATTATTAATCTACTTACTAATCGACAAAATCAAATTATCACAAATCTTGAAGTTACTTCTTCATATTCTGTACTTAATAGTATTAATCAGAAAAAAACCATTACTTCTCTTCTATAAAGAATATATTATGACCCACTTATTTTATACATTTACAATAACTTTAATAGATACAATACTAAATTTTTCTGACCAACTAATCTTAAAAACCAAACATTCAACAAACTTGAATCTCACTACTCTGTTCTTGCCTATATGGATGACACTTTATAGATTACTTTCTCATAGTAAAAACTCTCTCAAATTTTATCAATAGCAGAATCTTTTTACATTATAACCAATATTTTATTAACTTTATTAAATTAATACAGTCAACTCTCAATAAAGCAGTCTTTTGATAAACCAATATCAATCATTTAATGTGATTAAAATTTTGTACTACATGCAATGCACTATACAGTTTATCAAAAGATGATTACCTCTTGATTATTTGTGATATTCATCACATATGTACTGTATCACATGACACCAGTTTATCAAAAGTTTATTTTAAATACAAACCAGTTTATTAAGAGTTTTTTTTTTACTAATATTATTTGAACACTAATAATTTTGATACATACTATATATTAAACTTATAGATTTTAATTGCTATATACATTAACATTAACTGTTAAGAAATTAGTTTGCTTTTATGTATGTAATAGTTTAGCTTATATTAAGATAATGATCAAATCTATACTTTAACTATCATTTTATAGTTAGAGTCTAATAGCATAATAATTAGTTAAAGTATAATAGTTGAGAGATTCTTTCTTGTACTAGTTACGCTTTAAAGAGTATTTTCTCTTGTTTTTATGTATTGAAGTAAATTACAGGTTTTGTATTTAATGCTTGCAAAACTGAGTTAAACCTAGTTTGAAGATATAAAAGCACCTACTTGCTATAACAAAGTATACTATACAAAAAAATTTATTTAAATATTTTTATTTTATTACCTTATTTTCTGTAAAAACTTCATAAATCTGCAGCATGATTTGGTAGTTGAATAATTCTGTCATCTGAAGATATAAATTTCATAGATAAACAACATTTATAGATAAAATATAGAATAAAAAACACAGATTAACTTTTTTTATAAGGCTGAACAATCAAAAAATTCAGATGCATGAAATTTTTTTAATTTTGACTTGTGGTAGTATGTTAGTACTTGTTTATGCTAACTTAGAATTTGGTGATTGCACTATAAGCAGTTTATAAAATAAATTGTAGCTTGTAGATTTTAAATATATAAAATAATTATTTAATATTATAATCTAAATTGACATAAAAGGTGTATTGTATATTAGTTATGTTTTTATACTGTAAACTTGGCTATAGAGTTAAATTTTGCTAAATTAACATAAACTAAAATTGTATTTATAAACTTATTTACAAATTCTAAATATGTAAATAATAATAATAATAAAATTTTTAATAAAATGAATATTATATTTTAATTTAAAGTGATTTTCTTGATTTCTTAATCAAAAATTAATACAAATAAATATTTTTATAATTTGATCTTTTATATTTATATTTTCAAAACAACACACACATTTTCAAAATTAACTTTACACAATCATGCAATTAGAGTGATATGAGTTATAATATACAAAATTTATTCTAATGTATATAATTTTGCAAACAGCTATAGTTGGCATTTACAATTTTTTAATTAAGTTCATTGTATTTTTATATTACTTACAAATATTCAATTTCCTATAAATATGATCATAGCTTATATGTGATCACATTATTGTATATTATCAATGTTTGAATCAATAAATTTTGTAAAGATTTATTTAGTAATTTGAAATATTTTATATTCCTCTACTGAAAAATATAATTCTTGAAAGCCATCATTATGATAAGTTTTGTATTTATGTAGTTTTACTGTATACCTGTGAAATAACACTCATGGGTGTTATTTTGAAATTCATCCTCCTCAAAAATACCATATTTGGTTCAAAATAACACGCATGTGCGTCCCGAAATAACACGCATCCAAATAATTCATAAGATAAATTGATTTACTATAATCAGAATTTTTAATTTATTCTATTTTAAACTAATTCAAAAATTTTCTTTTTATTTTAATATACAATTTGCTTTATAATACAATATACCATACAGCATGAATTAAAATACCCAGGGTATTTTACAATTTAAGCAGTATGTATGGGTATTATAGTCAGAGGGATACTATGGTCAGCATGGAGTATAAGTTGCACTATATGAGTGCTGCAATAATCATTTTAGCACCTGGGTGCAAATTAACTAGTCCTTAATACCCAGGTATTTTACTATGCATTCTTAAGTGCAATTAACTGGTCCTTAGTAGCCAAGTATTTTACTGTACATTTCTAAGTTCCTTAGTACCTGGGGTACTTTACATTTCAAGTGTTATTATTTTCAATTTATCCATATTTAGTACCCCAGATACAATACATTCTAGGCTGCTGAAAATTATGAGAAATATTATAAGAGAGGGTCGTTTAGTCCACACTCTACAGTAGTTTAGTAATAATAGCATATCCATTTATATTAATATCCTGACTACCAAATGTTTTTTTTTAATAAATAAACAACTTTATATTATTAATAATACCCAATCTCAAATTTTTGCTAACATTTACAGATCATGCAAAAGTAAAGTTAAAGTGAATATTAAAAAAATTTAAGCTAATGCTTTATCAAAGCAATATGTTTGGATATCAATCGAATATGATAAGCAACAAATTTGGTGTGCTTATGCGAACTAAAATTTAGTAAAGATAGATTATACACATTATTAATAGTCAAAGCCAAGCATTTATTTTTAGAACACAGTATCTAATTTGTTGTACAAAAGTGAAGCATATGAATTTATTTTTTTTTTGCTTATTCAGTTTGAATTGCGCATCATTTTTAAATTGTTTTCTTAAAGTTTTGTGATTATAAATTTTAGCGTTAACAAAAAAATTATGGTTTGAAAAATCTATCATTGGTAAATGATTGGCTAAATTAGATAAATATTAGCAAAAAAAAAATAAATTAAAAATAACTTACTCATATTAATTTATATTACTTAATCGATATTCATTGAATCCATATCCAACACTTCATAATCTGTTGCACTTTCAGCATCATCAAAATCCAACTCACCTCCTGAAAATATATCTTTATCTTCTTCACCTTCATATTCATTGTTTTCTTCATCTTTTTCATTTAACAATTCATTCGCATCATCCATGTGGTTTTCAACTATGGCTTGACATTTTATTGTTTTCACTACCATCAGGGTGAAGCACAAGTCCAGCAGCTTCAAATAATTTGGTCAAAAGGTCTTTACTAATTTCTTTCCAAGTTTCAAATACCCATTTGCAAATAAGTGCATATGAGACTTTTTTGAGAGATTCTTTTTTGGTAAATTCTCTTTCACCTTCATCAATTCATTCATTTCATCTTTTTCTCATTCCACTTTTAAAAGATTTATTTACTAAAAAATCCAGTGGTTGCAAAACACAAGTCATTTCTTCAGGTATTTCCAAGACATCCAAACCTTTCATATTTAATGTCTTAACTATATTATCATGTATATGACTATGATGACCATCAACAAAAATTATACCTTTGCTTTTAAAAAATCCTTCTGGTCTCGCATGTATGGCTTATGGGATATAAGTAGAAATCATTAAGTCTGTTCACATATTTGCATAGGGTGCTGTTGCTAAAACAACATCTCACAGAAATTTACCTTTGGGTTTTCTTTTTAGCTTAAAAATTACTGTTGGTAGAAGCTTATCTCCAGAAGCAGTATAACCTAAAACTACTGTAAAACGTAGCTTGTCATTCCTTGTACTTCTAATTGCTACCTCATGAACATCTTGGAAATCAAAAGTTGAACTCTGAAGCATGTTAAACCAAACTGGTGTCTCATCAAAAGAACTGATAAATTTTTTTTCTACATTTTTTGTTCTTTCATGCACAACTTGAAGAAAGTTACTAACAACTAAGGGCACATCCTTGGAAAACTTTTGTGCAACTTGAGTTTGAGCACATGTTACTAAATCATGCTGCTTTCTAAAACATTTGCACCACCCACAAAAGAACTTTGCATTAATACCTAAAGCTTTTCCCAACTCTTTTGCCTTTTTTTTAATCATATGAGTTGTAATAGTGACTTTTTTATCCTGTTTGCTCTTAATGTAATCCAATAGATCCTTTTCCAAATCAGGGTATTTCACTTTTTGACCATGACCTTGAAGAACATGTACTTTTTCTATACTTAATTTTGATTGTTTTTAATAGCTTCTAAGTCTAACTTCTGTTTTCGCTACTCCTGAACTCTTTTTTGGTTGATATTATAAAATAATGATGCCTTACGATTAGATGTGGACTCCACATATAATACTACTTCAAGTTTGAATGAAACAGTGTAGCTTCACTTTTTGTTCGCATCTATTTGTAAAAAAAGTAAAAATTGAAATAAAAATTCAAATCAATATTTGACACATATACTTAAATAGATATTCATGAAGTATTACAAAAAAATATACAGTTTATAAATTATTATATCTGGGTAATTGTTACACATTAATTATAAACAATCAGTTTTTTAACTTGAATCATGATCAATAATATTCATTGGCAAGATAAATATAACAAGATCAAGAATTATTGATTCAACAATACATCTAATGTAGCAACTCAAATTTAATTTACAATGCAAAAAAGCCCAAACTCAATTACTGAGCCATTAGGATATAATCCTAGAGCCGATGTCCTGCTTAAAGCAATTGGGTGCACCTTCATACAGCTTGCATTCATGATGAATTCAGGAGAAAAAATAATGGAAATAAATTCAAAAAAAAAGAGCAAAAAAAAAAAAATTCAGACCTAATTACTAAGCCATTTGGGTATAGCCCTAGAGCCGAAGTTCTGCTCAAGGCAATTGGGTACATCATACAGCTTGTATTCACAACAACAGATTCAGATAAAAAAAAAATAACATAATGGTAAATTCAAAAAAAAGACTGAAAAAAAGAAGTTCAGACCCAATTACTAGGCCAAAAGAGTATAAACTTGAAGCCGAAGTCTTGCTCAAGACAATTGTGTATACCTTCATTACAATAACAATAAATTCAGAAAAAAAAAATAACATGAAGTAAATTTAAAAAAATTTAAACCCAATTACCGAGCTGTTGGGATATAATCCTAGGGCCAATGTTTGCTCAAGGCAATTGGGCACACTTTATACAACTTGTATTCACAATAATGAATTCAGGGAAAAAAAAATAACAGAGCCAAATTCAAAAAAAAAATGATGGGAAAAAAGTCCAGACCAATTACCAAGCTGTTAGAGTATAACCCTAGAGTAATATCCTGCTCAAGACAATTGGGCACACCTTCATACAGCTTGTATTCACAAGTATTCACAACAATAAATTCATAGAAAAAAAAGTCTGAACCTGATTACCGAGCTGTTAGGGTACAACCCTAGAGCCAATGTCCTGCTCAAGGCAATTGGACGCACTTTCATATAGCTTGTATTCACAATAATGAATTCAGAAGAATGACAGAAAAAAAAGTCTGAACCCAATTACTGAGCCATTAGGGTATAACCTTAGAGCTGATGTCCTGCTCAAGGCAATTGGGTATATCCTCCTTGAATATGAATGAACAGTTTAAAAAATGACTGAACATTAATATTCAATGCACTTTGTTTTTAGAAAAAGTTTTTTTTTAAAAAAAAATACATTTAAAAAAAAAAAAACTAAAAAAAAAAAGAGATTATATATGCAAGAATTTATTATTACTGACTAATGATAATGCAACTTACAGCCATTGCACAGATCACTGCCAATGTTGTATATAATCATAAGGTTAATGGTATAAAAGATGTTGTGTAGGCTAATAAAAAAAGAAAAGCATATAATATACATATATCAATATGTATAAAAAAAATTGAATAGGTCGACCTAGTTTGTATACTATGTATCTTATATACATAGAAATATGGGGTTTGCTTTTCATAGACAGAAGTTCATTTGATTGGCTAATAAATTCAATTTAATTTTATATTATTTATACAGTTTAGAGTACTTTATAAAAAAATGAAAACCAACCATAATAAAGTAAAAAAAAAAACATATAGAAGGTTTCATTAGAGTTGTAGGATTCCATAGTTAAAAATAAGATCTAATTCTCATCCATTTAAAAAAATTAGCTTTAGTTTTATTGGATTTTGAGAAGTTATTGCTATACTAACTTTTTTAAACAGATGAGAATTAGATCTTATTTTTGGCTATATAGTCC